AATTTTTATTTTAAAAAAAGATTTATTTTTTATTTATAATAATTAAAGATAAAATTAAAATGTTGTGTTTTTAATTAAATAATTAATTTTTATTAATTTGTGTGATTTAGTTAAAAATAGTTTATATATAGGGATGGAAGGAGTGGAGATAAAGAAGAGAACCAGCTCTCTGACTCGGCATCTTGGGAGATCGTAAGAGCCACCGAATCATCAAACCGGCTTTGATTACATTAGTTGGCTCTTCGGAACAAAAAGAAAACATTAGAGATGAATCGGGTCCAAAGATGGATTGAGCCCGAACCAGGTGTCAATTCCTTTGAACCCACAATTCCCCGAGAAAATCATTGGATACTTTTCAGTTTTCCCCATGGTCTCATGGAATTAAATTCTTCAATTTACTCGACAGTTAAATTTTCGAACAAGATTGTGAAACTCACATCACATTTAGTAATACAATAGTGGAATCTGTGTATCAAGTGCCGCCCTTCATACACTGCCCTTCAAATGGGACATCTACGCTACAATAGTCTTACGTGTAATCCAACCTACCGTCCAGAGATGCACATAATGAAACAAAATCCAGTTTATTCTGAGTTTAGTATTCAAAACAAGACTGATTATTCAATCAACTTTATAAATATTCTAATAATCAATTAATACTAATGCAAATCCAAACATTTGAAATTAATACAACACATATTTTTTGCAATAATCATTGTACGGTTGTCATCGCATGTGGAGAAATTAATTTAACCCTGACGATTCTAATTGTGATTGGTCCCCCCCCCCCAAAAAAAAAAAACAAACAGGAATATAGATTTTTCTCACATGGTCCCCTCGAGGTAGTGAACTTCGTTGTAAAGGACAAAATCGGACTGGCAATGAACATTCATGTGTTGTTTGTCGCCTAAAACTTTAGTTTGTGGTTCATAAAAGATAATTAGATCACAAATAATCTTCTTTGTTTTTCTTCTTTTTTGCTCGGTGAAATTCACGTTTTGGCATTGTTACATATTCTTAAGAAAATCCTGGATCCAATCACTCTCGGCCAGCTATTCATCTCTAGTTCATTTGCTGTAGCTTTTGAATTCAATGTGCCCATCTCATATCTCTCACATCAATGGCCGTGCATGTTTAGCTATCAAGTGCTCCTGAACCCAAAGACGAAAGGAAATCTATGAATCTGATTCAGGGATCAGAAGAACAGCAAAGACCATGAAGGTTGAAGCCATGTCCAAGCATACCGGTTGCAATTAAAGTAGCAGCAAGCAAGCTGGTTCTCCATTTATATTCATCGGAGTGCATTAACTGCATGAGGCTAGCCATTGACAAAAGTACAGGTGTTTGATTTGCCATAAATGTAAAAACCAGCGGGGCATTAAGGTACCTTGAGAGATTCAAACAGTGGTTGCCAGTGGGTGACTGTCCTTGCCTCGGCATGCCAAATCATTCAAGGTTCACCATAGCAATTTCAGCACAAACAGGTATATCCCACGTGGAAGTAGCTTCAGCTGCATAGTGATATCGAGATTGGCGATGTGTCTGTGTGCGCGCGCACCATGGATGTGTGGAGAAGAAGAGGCCATAAATGTGAATAAAGAGAGAGTCAGAGAGATACCAGAGTTGGTGGACCACGGAATGTCTATGGTCCACCAGGACCCCAGAATTAACTCACCGACTGTTTTTAGCTGCAAGGGTTCCAAAACCCTCTTCTCTTTATTTGGCTACTTTTGTGCTTCCTCCTTTTCTTTATCTTGTTCCTTTCCTTCCTCTCATAATAATGACCAGTGAACAAACTCAGACCCTGAAACCAGATGTGCATCTTCCATAATCTTCATGTTTTTATGAGAATTTATGGAACTTATATAAGCTCCATACATATCTATATATCCTGTTCTATGATGTTTGTCTTGATTGTAGCCAAACATTTTTAGAACCTCGTTTCAGTAGCTTCCCATAGGATGACTTTCCAAAAAAAAAAAAAAAACACAGAAGCAATTGAGTTGGTTGTTGGTTTTTCAATACTTCTGTCAAGAAATTGGTTTGGTTCGATCTTCATTCCACTGACAATACTGTGGGATGTTGTTGCAGCTTGTGACTTCATGGATTTATGAAATGCATCAGCATCAGTTAAGAACCATGACAGTTGTTTATCTGGTGCTTCACATGAATAATGGTGCCTGAAAGTGACACACGCAAGCTTACATTAATATGATTGATCACTGAAAGCTTCCTTGCACAAGGGCACAATCTCACCGACAGCTCAGCTAAAAAGAATTAGAATCTATTCTTCATTCGATTGAATTTATGCCAAGTATGTAATCAACGATATATATATATATATATTAAAAAAATCATGTGAGAACATCAAATTTGAGAATAGAGAATATACTATACAAGTATGAAGGAACTATATGATTGATAACCGCATGAACAAAAACGGTTGTCTTCTTAAAATTATATATGCTATTGATTTCTCGGGGGTTTTATATTAAAAAATAAGGTTGAACAAATTTTTAGCGTTCGAATTCCATGCTTTGCAAGTAAAAGAGCATATGGCGCCTAGCAAAGAAAATCATTCGCAAAAACCACCTTATCACAACATGCCACATTAGCAACTCGCTCAAATCACAATCGGATCATTTATCTCCATAGGATTGGATCCTCTCAAGTTTAAATCCTCTAAAATTGGTAACGTTACTTCTTCTTCTTCTTCTTTTTTTCATATTTTCAAAGATTGGGAGGGGGATGCCATGTAAAAAGGTGAGGTTCTACATGTTTGTATTAAAATAGATTGCCAAGAACTACTATCTTCATCCCAAATTATAAGATATTTTTGGGTAAATTCAATATCCCAAAATATAATATTTCATTAATAATGTTTTTTTATTATTACTCTAATATTCGTTTATCAATGAAGTATTAAATGAAAAATATTTTTAAAAGTTTATATATTTTTAAAAAAAATAAAATTATAAAATATAATTAATGAATTTTATTAATATGTATGATTTTATTTAAAAGTATTTTATAATTTAAGATGAATGGAGTTATTTTTTTTTCTTTTGTTTTTCTTTTTGGCTGTCAGAACAGATGATACAGAGATGAAAGTGAAATGTGCCACATGCTGCTTTATTCAACTTGAAAAGGTTTACATGCAAAAGAAATAAGTTGGCCTAATAAAGCAACCTCTAATAACAAGATGAAGCAGAATAACAGCACCTCTTAATTCTGCCAAGCTGCTGCCTCTGGTATGCGCATTGAAGGAAAATTGTGTGTGATCCAATTGACAATGGCAAATTGTTGTCAGCATTTTCTGAGCCACGAGCAATTTCTCTTCACCAACTCTTTTTCATGAATCCATCAAATTCAAAACTATCTGCATATGGATTTGAAAAAAAATAAAATAAAATTGAACGAGGCTTCAATTCCATTCGCATGAATCAACAACCTTCACCCGCTAAAATTAAAACGATTTTTCCTCTTTAAAAAGGAGCGCTTCTTATAGTCCCACGCAGATCAAGCCATGGAAAGTTGCCAGAGACGGCAAAAGTTCAGATTAAAAAATAATTTAACATTGAAATTCATTAGTCGATTAGAGAATCACATGATTGAGATCATAAATCAGCTATCAAGAGGAATGCGCTACCAGGGTTACTCTACAGGGATCGGCCGCTCGTTACTTTGATTCGTAATACGTCCGTGTCCCCTTTCATATTCTAGAATCGTCCGAACATATCAAATCATTTCCTTAAAATGATTACTTTACCTTATGATTATTGAGTAACATTATTATAGTAGCTCCAAATCTATGTCTAGGAAAATGATCTGTCTCTATTTGGCCGCGAAAGATAAGTGAGTCAACTAAAGTATTAGTTGCCACGTCCTAATCCCTTTTCAGTACAAAATATTATTTGCCACTTACCAAAGATTTCAAAGGCAACAATTTTGCTCACGTATTCGTTACTCGAGAGAGCTCTGCTCATTGCGTATTTTGGTCTCTAGATCATACAACTAAACATTATAAAATAACCTAATCAGAGACTCATCCTTACCGATTACTTAATGCGGCGGCTTCAAGTTTTAAAGCCACGTGTAGGCTTCCAGATATTTTAATAAACCCCACTTAGACACTTGTACAGAAACAAGAAGCCTCAACCGACACTGATTCCGCTGACCTTCAAGCCAATTTTGTTGAGGGAAAAAATGAAGCGGCATAGATTGTATCAGCAATGGAGGATAAAATTTAAAGCTATGGGAGTGGGAGCAAAGGATAAAGTGAGACGCAAGAAAAAGTGAGAGCGTGGAGAAGTCATGGCTGCGAACCACGCAGTGCCTTCTTCCCTTGGAGTACCCTCATTGAATAAACCACTAAGCTTAATAGCTTCGTCAGAGAGACCCACACTCATGGGATCGTTACTGCCGCCGGCAAGCATTACCATATCATATCAGAAACGCAGTTTTCTCCCCACTAATCATAGTTACAGCAACGCATCTACTTGTCTTCCATCTTTTCCCTTCTGACCTTTTAGCATCGACATACCATGCCCCAAGAACAAAGATAATGCAGACTGTTATCATATCTACCCCCTCAACCAACAGTACATCAAGTTAATAACTGATGCAGTAAAGAACATTCATGGATGCAGCAGACAGCACCTAGAGCCTATAATGGGAATTCCTGAGAACTAACCAAGAAAGCCATAACGCATCAACATAATTATTAATTAGAACTGCTGCAATTGCAATTAACAAGTTCAAAATGTAATTATTTGGTCGTTCCAAAGTCCGCGCCTTTTTTAATTCTATAGCATAGCTTTCGCTCAAGATACTCAGATAGTTAAGAAGGAACCTAACTTTGACGGTTCAACCTAAATGCCGCCCGCAAAATGTTTCGTTTATGAAACAAAGCAAAGTTGAATGTGCCCCCTTTGTTTTTCTTTTTTCTTTTTATTTTCAGAGCTGGAAATAATCTGATAGAATACAAATGAAAAATCGCCTGAAAAAAAATAATAGTCTAATATGAAAAATTAGTAGACGATCGAAGTAAGAACTAAGAGAACAAAAGAAAAAAAAGAAAGAAAGAAAGGAGGGAAAAAAAAAATACCAAAATGAGAATCAAGTGAACAAAGGATGTGTCACAAAACAGTCCTGAAGGCTGGAGGGAATTTACCGGCAACAACCCTTGCTGCCGTCATGACGTTTCAGAGGGTGTGACCGTACAAATCGTAAGGAGCCCATAGGGCGTCGAGTGGGCAGGGCCGTTTGGAGTCCAACCTGAGCCATGGCTTGCCGCTACCGGACCAATGCAACAGGCTAACTGGACCTGGGTGCAAATCTCGACAGCTGCCTCTGACGTAATCACCACCCAGGCCGTGCTGGTTCCACCGGTGCTCGATGGGTGCCACGTGTCCTGCGAAAACCAGTAGGAACGGCGGAAGTGAACCCAGCTCGTAGATCCGATCGCTCTTCTGGATTTCCATCCATCTTTCGATATGCTTCGTGTACCGGGCTTTCCTCCATTTGACTAGATCTATAACCATCACTCCTGTGTTGAAATAGCACGGTTTCCGCCGCGCAAAAGTGGCGGAGAACCGCTTGTCTGACCAGAATCCTGCCGTGAAATACTTGGTGAAGTTGGCATGGCAGTATTCCGGTGCCCCGATTGTTTTAGAACCCAAGCTCGTACTCCACAGTTTGGATATATCATCAACCACGACTAGATCAGAATCCAGGTAAATCACTCTGCTCACGCAACCCTCCAGAAGATCCGCCAAGTAATTCCTGGCATAATTCAAGGGTTGTTCAAGCGCTTGCCTAACAGAGGTCGAGATCAGGTTCCTTACAATCTTTGGATCGAAGTAATACACCTTGAACTTCAACTGGGGGAACGTCGATTGAACTATCGACTCCAGATTTGTTTCCGACACGAGGAAGTGAAAGAAGATGCTTTCCGGGCACAAGGAATGCTGCAGAATGGAGTGCACAGCCGCGATTGAACCGCGGAGGTATTCAATGTCGAGTGTTATCGCCACGTGTACCAAAGAAGGATCGCAAACACTCATTTCCCCCGAAACCTCCCTTTGATTCGAACCACATTTATCGGCATTGCGGAATGCAGAGGCTTTCCGGAATGAAAATCGGTTTTCACTATCGGTGGGGGGCATCTGGACTGGCAAACGGAGATATCCGTCGAGGTGGGAGGATCTGATGGCTTCCGCCGGAGGAAACGATTGCAGAGATGGAGAGAGAACAACCAGAGCCATTGCGGCAGAGAAAAATCCCGAGAATCGCATGAGCCACAACATTTTGGCGCCGCAAAACCCCCTCCTCCTCTTCTGGATGGACCGGAAAAGGAAACGATCTGCCAGAATCGACGATAGGAAGGTTAGGGTTCTTCTAATGTCGACAGGGAGGAGGCAACAACTATTGAGAACGGAAAGTTATTGGAATCGGACTCTTTCCTATGCGTCTGCGTATGAGTATCAATCAGAGCAAGGATGCCGTGGGGAGGAAGCGATATCGAGAAGGGATAAAGCAGATGAGAGAGGAAGACGAAGAAGAAGGAGAGGAATCCATGAAAAGGCAGAGGTGCTATCGTGGGCACCGTCGCTCTTTTCTAGTGCTCCTCTGCTTCTTTAATTCTTTCCCTCCACTGCCTCACTCACTGTGTATCTTCTGCGGAACAAAAATATATTGACAGATGATAGTGCAGTGTCATGAAGGTGAACTGCAGGGAGGGGGGGAGAGAGAGAGAGAGCCCTTTTCCTTTCCAGCTTAGCGGTTGCGTTTTCCACCATAGAAATACAGAGCCCCAAACATAATTATAATATTTTAGGTGGGTAAATCTATAATTTTAATATTTATTTATTAAGTACTCTAATTAATTACCACGGGCGTGGGAACGAGCGAGACAAATGCAAGAAAAAAACCCCATTTTTGAGAAGCACCAGCTGTTCTTGTCTTTTTCGGAAATTACTATACTAGCCCTCAGAATTTTCCATCCTCGCTTCCCTTCTCTCTCCTCTTCTTTGCTGTCCTCCTTCTGTTCCCCTTCGGCTCTTCCCAATTCCCATCCTTCCAAGTATGCCCCTGTACAGTTTACCTTTAAATGTCTTATTATTCATTTCCACTTTTTTTTATCATATTTATAACTAAAAAATGCCCTGTATAATGCAGGGATTAAAAAATATTCACCGATTTTTTTCTTTTTTTTTGTTTGTTTTTGGCCATCATGTGAACATGTATATTTATAAGAAGTTTTTGTCTAATAGAATGCAACTCTTGTTAGGGTATAATTCAATTTGAATTCTAGAAGATCAAATGTTTAACAAAAAAAAATTATAACATTTAAGTATTTAACTAATAGCATTGTAAATTGCACAATGATAAATATCAAAACCAATTTCAATACTTATCATACAAATAAGAAATGAGAACTCATTACGTCTAAACCATTAAAATATAATTTTTATGATCTAGATTTATAATTTTTCAATGAGTGTTGTTTGAATAAAAAATTATTTTTGGACAAAATAGCAATTAATAGATTGTCTTTATTTTGGATTATATATCCATTAAAATAATTTCTAAAAAATTGAAGTAAAAAGTTGCAAATCTAGACTATCTATGTTATATGTGACTGGTCCAAAGAGAATGAGCTCTTAGTGTTTATCTATATGATGAAACACTAAAATAATTCTAATAAATATCAACTATTAGCCTTTCTTCTTGAATAAATAAAGTTTAACTCTTCCCTCTTTCATGTCATTAAAATCATTTTTTAAAGATTTTATATTAACCTCTTTGGCAATGTATTCTCTTTTTTTTTTTTGGAATATAAGGCCATGGAAAATCATGCAGGTAAAAGGAGATTAGGTCAAGTCTAGACTCAAGAGTAGACGACACTCTGAAGGCGGAACATCGAAAATTAAAAGTGTTGTACCATCGCTCGTTGCATGGTGTGCAAGTCAATTCGCACATTTGTTAAATTTTTTAAGTACATGATTTAATGTGATAACTCAATCCTTCATGGCAAGGCATCTCAATCTATTCTCTTTTTAATATATACATGTGCAATGGGTTTGTCTCTCGCAATATGACAAATCAATATTCAAACACATATGTTTATATGTAATGCTTGTATTGAGTATTTGACCGTGCTTGAAATATAATTATCTCCAATAAGAGAACATGTGTGCACATAAAAATAAAAAAAAGTTATCCACCATCATCCATATTTTTGCAATGTATGATCTTAATAGTATTCATAGCTAGGGAAAAAAAACCTTTATAACAAATCAACAAAATAAATAACTTTTTTTAGCAATATATTTAAGTTAGATTGGGTTAAATTTTATATAACATGAACATCACCACTTCCCAGTAGAAGGCAAAGCAAAGTCATAGGTAGAAAATTCTAGAAAGTATGATTGACAAGCATATTATTGTATTAATATTCCAAGTGATAATTAAATAAAAGGGCTTTTACATATATAACTTATTTTATAGAATCAAACTTAATAAATAGCTCAAAATTTGTTATATTTTACATTATGGCCGTGTTAATATTTAGTTAAGCTTTATATGACAAAACTACCCTCTTTGTAAATAATATGACCTTCTTTCAAATATTTTTTTTGAAAAAAGCCTTCTTTCAAATACTCGAAGACAGAAGAGAGCTTTATTTAATCCTCTTTCAGAAAAAAAAAAAAGAAATCACAAGATTAAGCATCCCCATATATATATAAGATTAAATGATGTTGATAAGTTTTAACTGATATACTATCATAGATCAAAAACACAAAAAAAAAACACAATAATTTGCCTAATACAGATCAAACACGATCAATAAAAAAGTATGAACATCTTAGCTTATTACAGGGAATCAAATACCTAGAATAATAATAATAAATTCTATTTTCTATCATAATAAATGATGAGATCAAGCATCTACGTATATACAAGATTAAATGGTGTTATTAAGTTTTCACTAATATAGTTTGTCAATGATATTTATATAATGTCATGGATTAAAAACATGAAAACATAATCCTTTACTCAAAACAGATCAAATACAGTTCAAACAAAATTTTAGACATTTTAACTCATCACAAAGAATCAAATAACCCTCTGCAACTAAATTTTAGGTTTATATTCATCTATACGCAAGGAAACTTAATAATGAGACTCATTTGTAGAGTCACAAAATTGAACTACTTATGTTGGGACATATCTTGCAAAAGGGTGCACTTATTAAGAGAACAAAAAAGTAATTTGTGAATATCACATTGATTCCTCTACCCACCAAGAAAGGGAAGGAATTATTGTGAAAAAATGAGAGATATGATGGATGTGTGTGCAGTGATTTGATTTAATTTGTTAAAGCTTAAAATCATTTAGTTAGTTATAGGAGATATATTCACAGACTAGTTTATGCAAAGCATTTTAATAATATATTTGTTCTATAAATAAAAAGAAAAAATCACCTTTAATTAATTTTGTGAATGGACCATATTTTAAAATATTTTAAAACTCCATCCATAATTTATGAGAATTGTATTTTTTATAGCCATTAGGCCAATTTACGCTTAAACAAAATATTTGAGCAGGCCAACATGAAATTATAACACAATAATTAGTCCTGAACCTATTTATGTTAGATTCAACTACTATAATGTCAAGGTTATCATAATCAAATCAGACTAGTAGGTTCAACCAGTTTAATCGATAATTAACCAGGTAGTTGGCCAAAAGCAAGGCAAAACTAGGGGGAGGGGAAATTGTTGGTGAACTGCCCAAATTGGTCTTGAACCGATGAGAATCAAATGAACAAGTAGTTCAAAATTATTTTTTCCTTCTCCCCTGATTTGCTAAGAGCGACATTATTTTTATTTTTTTTTCAATTTTTTTATTTTTCCCTAACATGGAAGGACTTTGATATCTAATTTATTCACTCTCAAGTCGCACACCCTCATCCCTCTGTGCCGTAAGGTGTGTTTGGTTAGAAGTTTTTGGAGGAAAGGGGAGAGGATTTGCTTCCCTTCTCTTGTTCGATTAGTGCCTAATAAAAGAAGGAGAAAGGAACCCCCATTTGATTTAAAAATCAGAGGGGAAGGGAGAACTCTAGTCCCCCTCCAATTTGAAGTTTTTTTTTTTTTGAGGCAAAAGGAAAGAGAAGATGATTAAAAATAATTTAAACATTTATTTTAAAAATTTTAGCGTACCATTAATGTTAAAAGATTATGTATTATCTTTCTTTCTCTTTTTCTTATGATAAAATAAATTGTATTGCCTTACAAAAATTAATATATAATTTGTTATGTATAAAATTTTAATAGTTTTCATTAGACTCACTAATAAAATATAATATCAATGTATTTGTTTTTAATTTTTTTTATCAATATAAGTTCATATCCTAAAAATAAAAACTTAATAAATTATAATGTAACAGTTTTTTTTAAAAAAAAATAAATTAAATTTGATAGAAATAAAATTATAAATTTATTTTTTATTTCCCTCCCCTCTTAAATCAAAGAAAGGTTTATTAAATTCTTTTCCCTTTTTTCGTCTCTTTTTGAACCAAGCACGTCCTTAATTCCCAATTTCCATCTACTCTTTTCACCTCTATCTTGCGATTATGGCCGTCCTCATCATTCTTTAAACTTCTTCCTCGCCATCATCTCAACCCAGCTTGTTGTTCATTGTCCCTTGCCTCAGCCTCACATGTTGTCATTCATACATCATCCCTGCTCGTCCTTCATCTGCTCGAGTGCTCGAGTGTGAGTCATTCATCCAACGTCGCTTTGAATCTACATAATCCTATGCGAGCGAGCATCACTCTGGATCAGCTTTAAATCTCCTCCTATCCCTCTTTCTCTCTCTAGCTTCACTGTATCATTTACTCATCAACTCTCTCTCCCTCCCTCCCTCTAATTCTGTATCTGTGCATCCCCTGTAACATCAGAGGCTTCAATCACTTGGTAGGAAGTTAATCATGAGTAGTTTCATGACATAGAAAAGGAATTTCAAAGCATATAAAATTTTTGAGCATTTATTAAGGACTTGAATTTTGGAAAAGAAATAGGAGAATTTATGCCAAAAAATAAAATACATTATAAAGATTTAATTTCAAGTAAAATATGATGATGATGATGATACATGAGAGAGGGGATAAGTCATGGGGTGTGTGTGTGCGCGCACACAGACACACGCTTATGTATAATTTAATATATATTATATATATAGATTAAAAAGAAAAAGAAAATAAAAGCCCCAGGCCCACTGAGAATATCCTAAACACACACATGCATTTTCAACAATTAATTCCCAGAGGCAAACAGCGCGATTGAGAGAGAAAAGGGGCATGTGGCGTCTGGGTGGAGTTTTAGAACTCAACCATAATAGTTTAAGGATAATTTGAGACTCTCTAGGACTAGGCAAGTATTCCAATTTTTTTTTATTCTATTTTTACACCTCCTTAGTTTTCAGATTCTTGAAGAAGAAAAAAATTTTTTTATTCTATTTTTACACCTCCTTAGTTTTCAGATTCTTGAAGAAGAAAAAAATCTAGGTTATGATCTATTTAAAATTTTTTAAATCCTTTTACTGATAGAAAATTACTTTAATCATATATCTAAGTCTATTTTGAGATTTGAGGATGTTTGATCTCTAAATATAATTTTTTCTATCTGATTTGAGAATCTTAGAGTAATGCTTAATCCTTAAAATGAGGATTTGAGATGAGCATAGGCTTAACATTAATGCTTTAGAGTTATATAGAAATT